AGCTATTTCCCATGATTTATGGTTGAGTATAATCATTAACAAGCAAGGTATGGGCTCAAGACAAACTTTGTACAAAAATCTTGCTTTTTAAGAATAGCAATGGTGCCTTTATGCCATAAATGGAAAGATCTTTTGGACAATGGTTTAAACACTTGGGTAATAGCTCAAGAGTGGGTGTAAGCATTAAATTATGACGAGATTTGCAAGCAAAGAAGCCTGCAACATAAGATTATACAGTAAATCATGAGAGTTTTGTTATGTGTTCTTCACTTAGAATGACTTGTTATTCAAAGATGGATGGCCAACTTCAAGCCCTTGAATCTCCTAGCTCAAGTATGATAAATTTATGCTTTTGGATATTTAAGAAAGCTTGAAACATCCTCTATAACTTTAATGTTGGCCATTTTTACAAAATCATCTTGGAACTATGTGAAAAAATTCCAAGAAGTTGGGGTAAAATCCTGACCAAAATCTGTTGAAAATTTCTATAAGTGTTAAATGAAAATGTCATGACTTCATGAATTTTTAACTTGAGATCCCATCATATTTAGGAGAAGCTGTGTAAATCAATGTTGTAGATATCATGGAGATCTACAACTTTCATGTTGAAAGTTTCTTTTGAATCATCTTGCATCATGATGAAAGAATGGCACGAAGTGATGAGATTATCATGTATAAGAACACTTAGAAATTTTCTAAGTCTTGGAAATCTTGACTTTTCAAGTTGACTTTTGACTTTCTTGACTTTCTTGGTGATCAAGCTTGATATTCTTGCATGTCTTGATGAAATTTGATCTTTGGAATGTAATGTTGACCAAAAAGTCAAAGTTTGACTTTCTAATATGCAATTGAACATTTTGCCCTTGTGCCAAATCCAAGCCTAAATTGATGTATCAGGGCTGCAAACTTGGGGTTGTAGAAGATCTTGTGAGAGAATCCTTGAGAAATGATAGGGCAAATTTTGGGGTACAACAGATATACTCCATCTCATGAACCTATTGAGTATCATCAATTTGCATTCCCTACGCCAAAATCTCAAGGGGCGGACCTAATCATGAACACTAAAGAACCCTAAAATCTTGAGGACACCAAAAGATACCACATGCTGGAAAAGAGGCTTAGCACCATAGAAGGAAATGATACTCATAGCTTTGATACTTCCTCTTTATGTTTGGTTGAAGACGTGGTATTTCCTCCGAAGTTTAAGATTCCAGATTTCGAAAAGTACAAAGGGTCTAGTTGCCCTAAGACCCATTTGAACATGTATGTTAGAAAGATGGAAGCATACCCACGTGATGACAAGTTACTTATCCAATGTTTTCAAGACAACCTTAGTGGAGCATCATTAGAATGGTACACACAATTGGAAACAAAACACACTCCCACCTGGAATGACTTAGCTTTGGCATTTTAGAAGCATTATCAATAGAACACTGACATCACTCCAAGTCGCATGCAAGTGCAAGATATATATTAGAGGGGTAACAAATCTTTCAAAGAATATGCGTAGAGATGGAGAGTGTTGCTTGCTCGAGTACAACCTCCATTATTGGATAAGGAGTTGGTAGACGTGTTCATGAGCACCCTTCAAGGACAGTACTATGAAAAAATGTTGGTCAGTACACGATCACGCTTCTCTGACCTAGTAATAACTAGGGAACGCATCGAGAACGTCATCAAAACCAGAAAAATCCAAAGCGTCTCGAGTAGCTCAACTAATGAATCCCTTAGATATTTCCAAGGGGAAGAAGAAAATGAAACAAATTCTATTTGGGGAACTTACCGAGCTCTAGAAGCTCTGTCTCCTGCGCCTTATCATCAATATTCATATGCAATAGATGATCAATACCAACAATCACCATATGGTCTTTAACACCAGCAGCCATGGCCTATACCACAGAACCAGCAGGCTAAGATTTCACATCAACATCAACGTTAGAATCAACAAGTTTGGAATCTAAGAAATCACCATCGACGCCTAAATCAGCATAGGCGTCCATACAACCAAGAAAGGGAAAATCACCAGTTCGACCTGATCCCTTCGACATACAATCAACTATGGTCGTATCTAGTCCAAAATTCATTAATGACCCCTAGAAAAACCAGATCTATGAAGTCTTCATTTCCTCCTTGGTACAACTCATATGTTCAATATGAGTTTCATGGTGGAGTAGTGGGGCATTCGATTGAAGAATGCAACTCATTCAAAGAATAGGTATAAGAGCTGATTGACAACAAGCAATTAACTTTTGAAGAAGATGGACCGCATATGATGGAAAATCCCTCGTCTTGATTAGTGGATCACTACAGAAGCTTATCTCCAGGATAATTAGGGTTTATCATTTCAAATTGTAATTTCTTTCTTGCTAAGTGTTGTTTGTTATAAACTTTTTACTTTGTGATCAAGTAATTCTAATAAAATAAGCATGCATGTTTTTGAAATCGATCCATTCCACAAATAATCAACGACTTGCCATTTTCACTCTTCTTTTTCTATCTTCCATTTTCAAATTAACAAACTTCAATGGAGAATGATGAAAATACAAAATAATCGAATCTTGCCGACGTATGCTTTTTAATAGTAAGGCTTAAATGACGATGTAAGGAATTGTTTCACTTACTAAATAATGGAGAAATAGGGAGTTAATCCATAGTCAACCCCCTCGATCTAGAAGTCGGAGTTCTTTCTATTTTCTAAAAACCCGTAATCTTAACCAGGGGTAGGATAGATTTCAATTAATTTGATGATGCATTCAAATCCTAGGAAATCGAAACGATCTAAGAAAAGGTTCAAGCATATCTCTTTCCTCAATACATCATTGAGAGAATAATTGAGCACATCGTCTTCCCCGCGTTCATCACCCAAGATTGAGGAATCAACTAAGGAAAAATCCACGACATCTTCTTCCTCAGTACATCAATCAAGATCGAGGAAACGATGAAGATGAAGCTTATAAAAATCGGCATGGTAGTCACAAATTTTCAAAACCAAAAGTAACAAAAGAAATTTAAAAAAAGGCCTGCTAAGTCAAATCAAATCAAAACTTGACTTAGGCAAAAGTTAGGGCATCCTGGTGGATAAAAAAAATAATTAAAAAAAAAATCAGTCCATGCAAAAATAAGGGATTGAAAACAATAAATTGGAAAACAATCTTGTGATTGCCACCTCAATAACCATTAAGGCTTTAATCAATGCTCGGATCTTATCAAATGATTGAATTTCATCAATGTTTCTCATCACCTACACAGCTACGAGATTTCTCTTGGGGATTAATTGAACATAGGATGGGAGAAAATCAAGGAGAATGGGGTGGGTTAAATAAATTTGGATCCTTATATCTCTTGTTTCTTAAACCACGAACCATGGCCATGTTACAACCTTTAAAAGTCCTAATTGAAGCTAGGTTCACTATGAAAGCATACTCGACAAAATTTGTGTTAAACTGACTCCTATGTTTGTTAAAATTATTTCTAACTACTTCGCTTAGAATATTAATATTATAGTCTTTCATTTATTTTCAAATAATCAATTTCGATTTCAAGAACTTGCATGTGCATCAAACGGAATTACTTTTTCAAAATGTACAATTTTACCTACAAATCAATACTCAACATCAAGGAGATCTCAAACTTGGTTTGATCAAAAGCCATCCTTCCCCGAGGAGCTCCTAACTAGGGGCAAAGCATCTAAGGGGATACCTATAAATAGGGGAAAATACTAATGATCGTAGGGGTATATCATATAAAGATACTATTGTCGAGGGGCGATCATTTCGAGGTTCAATCAATTCAGATCAAATTTTAAAGCACTATTTGATCAGGGGCATACCTTTCAAAGGAGCATTCCTTAATCAAGTCATATCATAACAGGGTATGACTCAGTTTCCTCATGTTAACAATCTTCTCAAGGCATCAATGATTAGGGGCATCCCTCCAAGATTCAAATGTTGGGGCAGTACGTACCAAGTTCATCATACTACGTAGGGTCCAAATTCCCTTTCAAGCAACTTCAACTACAAGCTTTTCAAACTTCAAATACATGGGGAAATCTATGACAAGTTCATGATGAGGTCTAAAGCTATTTTTTAGGGTACTTCCTCCAAATCCTGGAGATTGAGGGGCACATATTTTCAAAATTCAAATGTTGGGGCAAACTACTGCGAGGCTCGAGAAAAAGGAGTTGATATAAAAGGGTCCATCAAAGCCAAGCATTTTCAAGAATATTTTAATCAGGGGAATAATGCAAAATAGTAGGGTCATCCACATTATGATCAAACTGTTTCCAAGTTCATATTAAAGAGAATCTCCTCCAAGACCCTACCAACAAATTAGGGAAACACAATCCATACAAAAGTGAGCTCTCTTCATACTTTCACAATCCTCCAGTGGACCTCTCTTCTACATCAGCAATCTTCGAGTTCGAGGCAAGTATCAGGGAATCATGCAAGCACAACACTCTACCATCATGTGACAAGAAACCTTGTTACATAAGAAAAACCTCAATGCTTTAATCATGCACGGCCCATCACAGGGGCACCATTAAAATAACATTCAAGTCATAATCATAAAACATAGAGCTTCATAAATCATGCATTAGGGCTCTTCGATCCAAAACTCCAACCATACTTATCACCTCATTCATCTGGCATATTCTAAAAGCATGGGTCGAGCATATCTAAAAAAATCCCAACTATTCATTCGCATTCCAATGTCCAAATGACCATGTACACCTATTCAAGTCATTATTTACATATATCAATCAATCATTACATTTCATCCACACATCAATCATCTCATTTCATGCATCAATCAAATTTACAAGCATAGCCTAAAACCTCGTTTTTATGTGAAGACAATCATCATTGTCAATCAAGCTATCAATTCACATTTAATCTCAGCGGTAGATTCCCATGGTTGATCATGGCAGTTGATTATCCAGAAGACCTCGGCAGGAGGTAATATTTCAATTGAATCTCGGTAGTAGATTCCCCTGGTTGATCATGGAAGATGATTATCCAGAAGACCTCGGCAGAAGGTAATTCTATGTTGAATCGCGGTAGTATATTCTTTTGGTTGATCACAACAGTTGATTATTTAGAAGACCTCGGCAGAAGGTATTCTACGTTGAATCTCGACAGTAGATTCTCCTAGTTGATAATGATAGTTAATTATCCAGAAGACCTCGATAAAAGGTAGTTTCAAATTGAATCTCGACAGTAAATTCTCCTGGTTGATCACATAAGTTGACTTTCTAGAAGACCTCGGCATAAGGTATTTTTTAATCAAATCTCGGTAGAAGATTCTCCTGGTTAATCACGGCAGTTGATTATTTGGAAAACCTCGACAGAAGGTATATTTTAGTTGAATCTTGGTAGTAGATTCCCCTGGTTGATCACAACAGTTGATTTTCTAGAAGACCTCGGCAGAAGGTAGTTTCCAATTGAATCTCGATAGTGGATTCTCCTGGTTGATCACAGAAGTTGATTATCAAGAAGACCTCGACAAAAGAGAGTTCTACATCGAATCTCGGCAGGAGATTCCTCGGAAATCTTGGCACTAGATTTCCCATTAAAGAGCCTCACATCAAGCATGATGTACGCATAACCATATCAAAATCTCAAGGTCATTCAACAGCATTTGGTGCATCTAACATACAGAAACACCAGAGAGCATTTGATAAAGAATCAAAGGTTAGTCCTGGTTAGGAATACATCAAAGGAAAATCCACGCCTATTCCCATGTCTACACCTATGACCATGTCTACACCTACGCCTGCACCTATGATACAGACATCAAAGTCTTGCTGACACTTTTCACCAAATTCAAATCAACTTGGAGATACGATAATTGGCAACAAACAATGTTGGGAAGTAGGTGAGTACAAGAAACCTATGGTTTAACATAGGAGAATGATCAAAAACATTTTCAAAATACTTGGGGCATATACATTCATGGAATGTACACATACTGGGAGCATACACATACTTGGGGCATATAATATAAGCATTTGGGGCATAAGCACATGAGCATTTTTTTACATACACATTGTAAACATGTTGGACATACATCATACCTAGATAGCACATCAATTTAGCGCATTATGCATGCAGTGCATCTTGCAGAGCTACTTTGGTTAGAAATACAAATATTCTTGGGGTTCATCTTTAACAGGCTTATCTGCGCAAACTATACAATTCAAACTTTAATAATATTTGGGGTTTATTTTCTTCATATTAATAGTTGTGGTCAAGGATGACACAACCGACATCATCATGAATTTGGTGTTCTTCATGTTGATAGTTGTGGTTGAGGATAACACAACTGACATCATCGTGAATTTGGTGTTCTTCATGTTGATAGTTGTTGTTGAGGATGACACAACCGACATCATCATGAATTTGGTGTTCTTCATGTTAATAGTTGTGGTTGAGGGCGACACAACCGACATCATCGTGAATTTGGTGTTCTTCATGTTGATAGTTGTGGTTGAGGACGACACAACCGACATCATCGTGAATTTGGTGTTCTTCATGTTGATAGTTGTGGTTGAGAACGACACAACCAACACCATCGTGAATTTGGTTTTCTTAATGTTGATAATTATGGTTGAGGCGACACAACCAACATCATCATGAGTTTAGGGTATTTTCTTCATGTTGATAATTATGGTTGAGATGACACGACCAATATCATCATGAGTTTGGGGTATTTTATTCATGTTGATAATTGTGGTTGAGACGACACAACCAACATCATCATGAGTTTGGGGATTTTCTTCATGTTGATAATTGTGGTTGAGACGACACAACCAACATCATCGTAAGTTTTGGGGTATATTTTATTCATGTTAACAATCATGGTTGCGGGCTGACACAACCGATATCATTAATGAATTGGGGGTATATTTTTCTTCCATTTGATAGTCTCGGTTGAGGCTGACACAACCAAATATTATCAGTGAATTTTGGGTTCCATCGCTTCAAATATAGCATATTTCATTTGGTTATCGAATCTTGGTTGAGGGCTGACACAACCAACATCGTCATTCCAAGTTCCAAATATCTGGTTTCAAGCTTGTATTATCTATCCTCTAGGCTATGATAGGTATACGAAAAAGCTTTGGCTCATTGTGTTAGTCTCTAAGCAGCAATATACTATCAAGCTTTATGTTATTCTTCCCCTAGGTTGCGATGGGTATATAAAATATGCGTCACGAACTTACTATATTAGTCTCCTAGCATTAGTAGGTAAGCTTTTCAATACTTGTATCATTTAATTCCTAGGTTACGGTAAATATGAAAATTCTACAATCTCTTAGATACTAATGAGTCATCTGTATCGTCGTGCCTAAGTTCTATCAAAACTTTGGTTCAAATTCCGATAGGATGATACATCATCATCTATGCACATCTTTCACTCGTGGGAACACTGTACACGTATCCTTAAAAGTTTCTCGGGAAAATCTTGTTGCCTTCCACTATTTAATAAACTTCCAATCAAAGATCTGAGATCTGCATATTCTCGCACTATTCAATCAAAAGATGATTATATAGGGGCAGCTGCCATACCCCAAATTTTCCATACCCTAATATCATATCTAGGGTTTCTTTAAATAAATCATATTACTTAGTTTTCACTTTTATATGGGTGTTTAAAGTCAAAGGGGGTGTGTTGATGTAAAATGGACCATCAATATCTGATGGTCCATTAGGGTTTAAAATCCGTTTAAAGTTTAAAAGAGAGGTGTATCGTTTTAACTAAGGAGGTGTGAGAAAAGAATTCTTATTTAAAACCCATTAAAATTCATTCTTTTTTTAGGTATAAAATGATTCTATTTTTGTTGAGGCCCAATGAATTAAAATAAGGCGGCCCATTGGTTTTTTTTAAGTTGGAAGAGATTGTTTTGTTTTTAACAGCTTTGTTATTTATTATCAACATCACAATCACTTTTTATACTAATACTGGTTTTAATATTAAAACTTATTTGAGATTGTTTTTTATTTTATTGATCAAAAAGGAAGTAAGGAGTTTCTTTTTTCTTTCACGACCCAAGACTAGCCATTTGAAAATAGAGGCACTTTTGTTGAGAATCTAAATAATAAAACAAGCAGGCCCGTTTTTTTTTAACATAATGTTTTTTCAACAAAATTGCAGGCCCAAATCCAAAAGCGTGGCTGGCCACTGTGTGAATCAAAAAAGGGACATTTTTTTAACAGTTACTGTACAGATTTGTCAACAACACATGCATTGTTGTACTAATCAAAAGGATTCAAACACAAAATCATGAACAAATCAACTCAAAATGGAAACATTTTATATTAAGCATTCAAATACTAATTAGTACAAATTACAACAAACTCAATTTTCTTTCCTAAATCAGAATCAAGAATAATGATCATTAACTTATTTCCTAAAAGTCTATAGTTCCTAAATCACTATAAAATGGACAAAAATACAAAATAAAGGAAGGAGAAGGAGAGAAGTTTGCATTACAGAAAAGAGAGTGATTACAGTATAAAAATACAGAAAGAGGAGGGGATCTACAACGAAAAAAAGATAGTATAGAAAAGAGGAGAGTAAATAGAAATTGTAAAAGCAGAGGCAGTTCCGTTTCGAACGCCACCATCAAAACTCACGCTCATCACCTCCTAGGGTTTCAATTTCTAAAACCTAACTGGGCCGCCGCCGTTCCCATTTTCCCACCATAATTCAGATCCTTCGCCGTCCTCTTCCTCCTCGAAATGTCAATGATATCCCCATCCTTGCATCACCATCGCCATCCTCCTTGAAACACCGCTACTGCCACCACCATTTGTTACCTGTTTACAAACAAACAAAACGAAGATTAGAAGAAGAATTATACAGAATGGATTCGAAGAACCTTCATGGATGGTAAAGCACTTAGCTTAGGTTTTTTTTCTTCTTGTTGTGTTTTTTGTAGTTTTGGATTGTTTAGGGTTACAGTTGGGTTTAAGTTGTTGTTGTGGCGCTGCAGAAGGGAGGAGTTTGGATCTTGCATCGCCACAATTGGGGATTAGCAGATTAGTGTTCTGTGTGTTGGTGAGGGAAGATTATTTGAGAAAGGAAGTGAGGCAGAGAGAGAGAGAGAGAGAGATAATATGAAGTAAATCTGTTCTTTTTGTGGAAATAGATTATATTATGTCTCACAATCTCAAACGTGTTATCCTAAGGTTACTACCATGTATATATATATATATATATATATATATATATATATATATATATATATATATATATATATATATATATATATATATATATATATATATATATATATATGAAGGTATAAAAATGAAATTATAAAAGAAAAATGAATTATATCAAGTTAGCAAAATAAGGGGGTGTCAATATAAGGAGCCTGAATTCAGACAGTGAATTCAGGCCCAAATGATAAGGGGGTGCGAAGCCGCATGTGTTAGTAAGAAACAAAATTGAAGGAGGTGCAAATAATAATTGGCCTTGGCCCAGTGGTGGAATGGGGAGTCTGTTTGGATTATGTGTGGTCATGCGCAATAGGCTGTCATGGGCATGCGTGTTATGAGGCTTATGATGGTGATGATGCAGTGAGTTTTGAAGATACATGGTAGTAACATTGGGATAACACGTTTGAGATTGTGAGACATAATATAATCTATTTCCACAAAAAGAACAGATTTACTTCATATTATCTCTCTCTCTCTCTCTCTCTCTCTCTGCCTCACTTCCTTTCTCAAATAATCTTCCCTCACCAACACACAGAACACTAATCTGCTAATCCCCAATTATGGCGATGCAAGATCCAAACTCCTCCCTTCTGCAGCGCCACAACAACAACTTAAACCCAACTGTAACCCTAAACAATCCAAAACTACAAAAAACACAACAAGAAGAAAAAAAACCTAAGCTAAGTGCTTTACCATCCATGAAGGTTCTTCGAATCCATTCTGTATAATTCTTCTTCTAATCTTCGTTTTGTTTGTTTGTAAACAGGTAACAAATGGTGGTGGCAGTAGCGGTGTTTCAAGGAGGATGGCGATGGTGATGCGAGGATGGGGATATCATTGACATTTCGAGGAGGAAGAGGACGGCGAAGGATCTGAATTATGGTGGGAAAATGGGAACGGCGGCGGCCCAGTTAGGTTTTAGAAATTGAAACCCTAGGAGGTGATGAGAATGAGTTTTGATGGCGGCGTTCGAAACAGAACTGCCTCTGCTTTTACAATTTCTATTTACTCTCCTCTTTTCTATACTATCTTTTTTTCTTTGTAGATCCCCTCCTCTTTCTGTATTTTTATACTATAATCACTCTCTTTTCCGTAATGCAAACTTCTCTCCTTCTCCTTCCTTTATTTTGTATTTTTGTCCATTTTATAGTGATTTAGGAACTATAGACTTTTAGGAAATAAGTTAATGATCATTATTCTTGATTCTGATTTAGGAAAGAAAATTGAGTTTGTTGTAATTTGTACTAATTAGTATTTGAATGCTTAATATAAAATGTTTCCATTTTGAGTTGATTTGTTCATGATTTTGTGTTTGAATCCTTTTGATTAGTACAACAATGCATGTGGTGTTATCCTAAGGTTACTACCATGTATCTTCAAAACTCACTGCATCATCACCATCATAAGCCTCATAACACGCATGCCCATGACAGCCTATTGCGCATGACCACACAGAATCCAAACAGACTCCCCATTCCACCACTGGGCCAAGCCCAATTATTATTTGCACCTCCTTCAATTTTGTTTCTTACTAACACATGCGGCTTCGCACCCCCCTTATCATTTGGGCCTGAATTCACTGTCTGAATTCAGGCTCCTTATATTGACACTCCCTTATTTTGCTAACTTGATATAATTTGCACCCCCCTAAGAAAATAATTTTTTTAAATTCATTTTTCTTTTATAATTTCATTTTTATACCTTCATATATATATATATATATATATATATATATATATATATATATATATATATATATATATATATATATATATATATATATATATATATATATATATATATATATATATATATATATATATATATATATATATATATATATATATATATATATATATATATATATATATATATATATATATATATATTACATATAGTTATATATTTATAATATTATTATTTATCATTATTAAATAATTAATTACTTTAATTTCGTTTAAAATACAATATTGCTCATTTATATTAAATTATATCTCTTTAATCACGCACTTAAAAATATTTTTTGCCATATAAATTAATTTAATATTTTAAATCAAAATAATCAAACCCACGCCATTCACCAAATTATTACATCCATAAGCGACACGTGGCCAATATTTGTCCACGTGATGAGAAGGCTATGTCAGACTCCTTTGCTCTACGTATAAAAAATACTCAAACAAACATCAAACTATTTTTTGTAATTAAATTAATTCGAACAATTAATTTTCGAAAAGGAATACAAATATATTTAAATTAACTGCATACTTGGTCTAATAAACTCCGCTATTCATACTCTTAGACCACATATGCGGGAAATTCAAAATATATTTTGCAATCTATAAAAAACACAAATCAACCGCGAACTACGAAATGAGTCTCTGATTCCTCCTAAGGGGATACGTAGGCATACGATCAAAAATTATGGCGAGTACCCCTAACTAAAATTCAAACCTTTCCCACTAACTAAAGTTTAAACCCTTGTTCCCAATAATAATTAAAAACCCTATTTCCTAAGAACGTGCTTCTAAACCTTGTATCCTTGTGAACAAGGTAGAGGAGGGGTGCCTAACACCTTCCCCTCGTCTAGAACCGAGTCCAAATCTAGAATCTATGAACTTGAGTGTTATTTCTTTATACTATCTTCCATTAGGATAAAAATTAAGGGTGACGACTCTGATTTAAAAACCAGTTGCAACAAGAGTTTATTTTCTTCTATGTAGTAGAAGATTATTTGTTACGGTTGCTGGATTTGCTTCTGTGTAGTAGAAGACAGAGATTATTTTATGAAGAAGGAGATTCCCCAGAATTCAGTTGCTAAAACTTATCTTTCGTGAAGTAGGAGATGAAGTTCATTTTCTTCAGTGTAATAGAAAATCTTGTTACAGTTTCTGGATTTTGCTTCTGTGTAGTAAAAGATGGAGATTCCCGGGAATTCATTTGCTAAAACTTATCTTTTGTGAAGTAGGAGATGAAGTTCATTTTCTTCTGTGTAATAGAAGATCTTGTTATATTTTCTGGATTTTTTCTTCTGTGTAGTAGAAGATGGTGCTTCTTTTGTGTAGTAGAAGATGCTCCAGAATTCAATGGCTGATTTTCTCTTCTGTGTAGTAGAAGATGGTTGGCATTTCTACTCCGTGGTAGAAGATACTTTGTGATGCAGTTTATGAAAGTTCACTTGATAAATCATTCATCACATCTGTTTAGGGAATCCAATGTGATTGCCATGCTGGGGCACCTGGCCATTCAACTGAAGGTTGTAAACCATTCAAAGATGAAGTGTAAGGCTTGCTTGATGCAAAAGTTATCATTCTTGCACCAATTGGTTAGATTGAATTCTCCTTTGACTCAGTGATGGTTAAGACTACCAAGTGCATCTTCTGAAGCAACAAGTCCATACGGATACTAGTCTCCTCAACATGGAAATTTCAAATTACATTTGCATTCTCATTTGTAATCTTTCTTGTTTGGTTAAGCACTTGTATGCAAAACTTAATTATTTTTTAATGTTAATCATAATGCATTGAATATGTTTGTCTTGAATTAATCCATTCGTATTCACTCATTAATGTTTTTATTTAATTTTGATACTTAGATCTTGTTAAATAAAGAAAAATACCTCTGGAGGGAGAAAGATGAAAAATATACCAAAAATCTTAAACGATATGCTTTTGAGTAAAACCCTGCTGACAACGTACATGCATTGTTTCAAATTCTCAAACACCAGAGATATAAGGGAGATAAACCTGCGTCAACCCCTTTGAGCCTTTGAAGCAGGAGTTTCTTTTCTATTTAGAAAAAACTTATTTTTGAACCCAGGGGTGGGCAGTGTTCAGTTAACCTTATTGAGTGTTCAGAACTCAATAGGAGTACGCACCTAAGGATACAACAATGGTTATCCATCAAAAGGGTTAGGAAAGTCAAAACTGCAATGGTTAACCCTCATCTTTCAGCAACGTGCATCCAAGAGAACGATATCCCAATGGGTATCTCTCGCACGTCAGGAAGTCAACAAATAACGATACAACAATAGTTATCTCTCATCTACCAAGGACAGGTAGTCATAATCAATTCTAACAAAATCAAAAATGACTTGAAGTCACGCAACTTGTTCAAAAGGAGAGAAAAGGAAATGATGAAAGAAAGCGACAAAAATCCCTGCTAAGCGGAAACTTGAAAAACAAGTCGCTTAGGCAAAAGTCAAGGCATCCCGCTGGAATTCAGAGTCAAATTCAAAAGGAATTTGTCCATGAAAAATTTAGAGAAACAAAAAGCCTGAAAAGAAAAAAGGGATTACCAAATAAAAATCCTCAGTAAGGAACAAAATCGTGTGACCAGAAGCACAAAAGAAGCCAAGGTGAGTGATTGTCGTGTCCAAAAAACCTCGTTTGACTCCTTAACCATTCCAAACTTCTTTTGAGAGCTGAGTTATCGCATCGAGTTAATTGAATTTAGGGCTGGAGAACATCATGGAGAATGGGTGGGAACCAAATATTTGAGCCTTAAATCCTTTTTTCTAAAACCGTGAGCCAGACTATGTTATAACCCTTGAAAGTCCTAACTGAAGCATGGGTTAATCCGAAAGTAAAACTGTAACGAGAGTATGGTAATCTGACTCCTAGGAGGCTTGCTAAAACTTTCTAGTTGTTATCACTCAATCTTTTTACTTTCTTTCGCATAATTTTTTTTTGATGTTTAATCTTTTCAATAAAAGTTTTTAAACCTCAAGACAAACATGAGCTTTGAATTAGAATTATCATTATTAGAATAAACATTATTTACATGTGAATAAGTGCTTAAACATCAAGTAAGCTTGCATAATGAGCATCAGATGGAAGTTTGATTATCTCGAGGGACAAATAGCTTTAATATACTATTGAGGGGTAAATCATTTTGAAAAATGATCTTAATCTAGGGAAGACCTTCTATTGACTCTATTGAGTAAAATAATACCAGTTTGAGAAATTATCTCAAGCAGATTACAAAAGTTGATTATCCATAAGTCTTCATTAAGCAATGGTGTATCACTTTCAGTTGGTCCTAAGGGGCCGATTTCTTCAAGTATCTGTTGGAGAACGAAGCAGTTCAAGTTAAGAAGTATGGTTGTGTACTAACCTATTCTCAAGACATAAGTCAATTACCCTAAAGGTATGATGTCTTCAAAATCCTCAAGTCTCTCATCCCTCTCTGAGCATGAGGTAAAGGAAATGGTTTGTCGAGGCTATATTGAACAGGGGCAAGTTATTTTCAATGATAATACTTTGTCGGGAAAAGATGGAGGTGTCTAAGAGTTTGAGTACCCTAAGGAGCCGAAGCATGTTGTATACTCAGTTGAGTAAGTGATCAGCCAATCTGAGGCACTCAAGTCGGGATTTGATCCCTCAAAGTACATTCAAATTGGGGCAATTACGCCGGGATTTGAAGAATCTCTCAAAGTTCTAAGTAATCAGGGGAAATTACCCAAGCATGGTTGACACCATCTCCAACTTTGGTTAGATAGGATCCATGTTCCAAAGTTCACAACACTGATACTGTTTATCTTTATGGTACAGATCTCATGAAGTCGTCTCGAGGAATTTTTTTTCAAAAGCCTTGTAGACTGGGGCAAGAAATTATGCAGGGGAATTTCCTCACCTTTAAGGGTTGATTAGATCAAGTCCATGCACAGGCTAAAAAACTTGTGTATTTGAAGAGCATATCAGAAGTTAGGGTTGTTATCCTCAACTCATCAAGGATTTAAGTCTTTGTACTGGCATTCCTCCATCAGAAGCCAGATACCTAAGTTCGGGTTGTTGGCATTTTTCGAAAGAATTCAGGATCATTATCTCCAAATAAAGTTTG